CTGGCTCCATCTGCTAATTCAGGTTTCTCTTATCATAGTAGCCACCTAGCAGGAGGTCCTCTCTCTGCTCCCCTATGCCCTTTACACTATGGATATTCAGGATGTAAATATGAAGTCCTCAGTGTTGACCTTTTCTTATTTACCTAGTTGCTCAAAATCACATGGAATAGTCTTCAAATTAACTTCACCTACTATATCCCTGAGCTTTGAAGTATCAGAGTGCATTTCATAGATCAGTGATTCTCCAGCTGTGGTAAGTACATCATTGGTATGAGGAAGCTTTAGTATCTCTGTACATGTACACATCCCAAATGACTCACAAGCTTGTCACTCCATGCACCTCTGTGTACCTAGGACAAGAACTCCTAGGATGACCCCAAAGCCCTCAGACAACCCACAGAAATTAAAGGCAGAAACATATGCAATATAGACATCTGGCTAGATATAAGCAGAGAGAGACAAGAATTACAGGTTAACATCACATGTTACACCACCTCCTGCTCCCAAACACACAAAGCAAGGAAGCTGCAGAGAAAAGGCTTGTTAGATTGCAGATAGTTCAATTGTTATACACGTGCAACTACATTTTCTTCAAAAAGTGCTTTTTAATCCAGTGTGCCATTTTATTCAAGAAGAGATAAGGAATGGCTGCCTCTGTGTAAAAGACAGTGTGGGAGACCCAGAGCTGTTACAGAGCTGAGAGTTATTTCTGACACTGCCACCACTGCAGTCAGGTATAACTCCTCCTTGATCTTAGTGGTATCGAGCAAACTAAGACTGGTTCTCCATGGCTAGAGCATACAAAACACAAAGTTAAGGCCAGTAAGAACCGACATATTCTATTAAAAAAACCCAAAACCTGTGCAACTACTGCTGATGGTAAGCTATTTCATGGCTCCACCTTTATGGTGCAAATCTACAATAGTGTTGGCAGGAAGGACTAAGAAGGGTTGAAGACCACTTGGTCAATAACTCGCTTATAGTTGATTTGTTTGTTGTTGATTTTTTTTTTAAAATATACTTAATTTCTGCATATACCTCCATTATCAGGAATTTTTAGTAACATTGCAGAGGGTAAAATAGGGAGTCACAAACAGAAAGATTTTGCTATTTTAAAAATAATTCAATTATTGCCCCACAATGCTGCTTTGGATCCCACTTTCCTGCAATAACAGGAAATCAGAGAGCATGCACAGAAGATATGCAGGCAAGAGAGACCGAATTAAGTTCTGTCCATGTAGAAACTTCAATCCAACTCACCTTTTGAATATGATAGCCTTGGTTACGTTCATGTAATGTACAACTATCATATTGGGCAGAAGGTAGTGAAGCCGGTCACTAGGGTGACAAGTGCTTGGGGCATGTATAGGGAGGCATTAGAGAAGAAAAGTACATTTGCAGTGAAGAACATTACAACATAACTAAAATGCCAACATATAACCCTTTCTTAAAACAGTACATGGAAGCATTCACCCCTCCTTGTTGAAGGATCAATAAGCATCCTCCATACCATCATCAATCATCCCACAGACAATACTGAGATGTTGACAGAAGAAAGAATGAAGGAGGAAAGAAAGATCATGGGGAAGGAAGAAAGGGACAATTCAGAAACAGCATCTTGGTTAAATGCCAGCTGCAGTGACAAGAAAAGTAGAAAGCAACAGAAGGAGAATGGGCTAAGAGCAGTCATGCCCTTCGGAGGACAAAATGACGTTCTTTAATTGCTCGGGAGGTTTTCAAAATGAGGTGTCTACCTCCAGCAGAGTGAAGATTAATCTTCATGGAACAGTTTGTATGATGAGTTGTTATATGTCGGGAAGTGCAATTTTAGGTGAAGTAGTTGATGGAATCAAATCAGTATTTCGAGCAAACAAGGGGAGCAAAATGTATTTACTGTGAGTTAAAGTGATCCAGATTATTACACTGATGTCAGAGCTTTCAAAACTCTATTATGGAGACATGTAACAGGCAAAAAACCATAATAGCTTCTTTGCTATTTTTCCTTCAGGGATAAGAGCATGACTCGTTATTAACTGGCTTCCTTTCCCTGTTCAGCTTGCTGCAGATTCTGGTTTGGTTTTCAGATGAGTTAGGGAGGTAAAAGCACTTTTAAGCCCTGTGGGCAGGGAATGGATGGTAAGTATAGTATTCTGGAATTAAGTTGTAGGTATTCTGCCAAAGCCTAGACAGACATGTAAACTGAGTCTCTCACAAGCATCTAGTGAGACCTGCGAGCATCAGAGAACTGCAGTCATGCTGAAGGAAGCTAACCCAACGACAGCAACAGACCTTGTAGAAACAGGGCCCAATACAAGTGCTCTTACATTTTGCTAGTGCACAAGTATTACCTGCATTTAAATTTTTAATTCAGACTGACAAAATTTCAGTTATTCACCTGCCATGGAAATTTATTTATTTCCACTCACCTCCTCCCAGAATCACTTTCTTTGGTAAAGGAAGGAGAGTCGCTTCTCCTCCTTCAGCACTCCCCTCCTTCCCCCTTTAGCCAAGTCACTTTTAGTGGTAGTGCTCCATGAAATTATTTGCTGATGACGACGTGGTCAGCACACTTATTTCATATAAGTATTTAGCATCTGATAGAGCCAGGCAGGCAGCAATCCATAGACCTGCCACCAGAAAACCATTTAAAGTGTAACTTTAAATTAGCTGGGTGAGAAATGCAATTAAAAGGGCTACCTGCTCTTCTTAAAAGGAAGATTTATGTGATTTTCCAGCTTCTTTCCTCATAAAAACTTAAGTTATGTAGTCCTCTAGTGTAACCATGCAGCCTGATGACTGGCTATGCCTCAGTTTCCAGAAAAGATGCAAGCATCTTGCAGTACGTTGCAGGAAAACTGGGACATTAAGTCTGTCCTCAGTGAGCCACAGGGATTTTTCCATTTTTTACTTCATGGAATTCAAGGACCTGACTAGAATATTTAAAACAGTTTGGTTGCTGACTGTTTAGAGAGCTCTTCTCTTCCCATACATAATTTCCTTCAGTTGTAATTAGTATCACCCAGAAGTCCTCAAATCGAGATCAGGCTCCTGAAAACTAAATACTGGACAATTCTGATAGGAGACACTTAAGCTATATGTCCAGAGAAGTAGGCTGATGACCATCAGTGTATGCTGTAAGTTATATGTTACAGGTTCTTACACAAAACATTCCTAATAACTGCAAAGGGTAAGGTGAAGTATCTTTTCTGATTTATTTTAGGTTGATGGGGATATTATTTCCTTTCTCATATTTTAATGTAAATACAGTAATGCTGCTGAGACAGCTAGAGGAGGACAGATCAGAAAAACAACTTGATGAAGAACGTCTGGGGAGAATATTCCAGTCCAGCTATGTTATATTACCAAGCTGGCCATGCAATGACTTGAAATAGAGACAGAAGGGTCTTAAAGCAAATGGCCTGCCAATGCCTGAAAACAATCATTTTAACTCTTGATGGACAAACATCTACTTTTTGAAAGAAAACCTCTTAAGCACACATCCAGCAAGTGGTCAAATGCGTGTGTAATCCAAACCCAAATCTCTAGATCATTCTCTGGCATTTTCTATAGTTATCATTATGGGGGTTTTGCAGGTGACAAACAAAAAAAAAAACCTCATCTACAACAGCAGCAACAACAGTATAACAAGTTGTATATTTTGTGTCAGAACATGCAAATGGCTCTTAAGGACTACATAATATATACTAAATACACATGCACAGAATTTGTGTACATAGTGAGGATGGATGGGGATAGTTCTTGTCAGATGGGAAACCACAGGACAAACCATCAAATGAACCAGATTGTTTCTGACACGGTTGTATAGATGTGGGTTCAATATGGCCTGAAGTCTACTCAAGGCCAAACTCTCAATTTAAACTTGAAGGAAATTCCTCTCCAGTGAGCCATAATCCTCAGCCTGTTAAAATTCTTCTCAGTCCAGTGATGAAGGCTTTGGTTGCTTTAATTATGACCAAAACCCACTAATAGAAACTTCAGAAAAGGCTGTCAGGACCGATAGTAAAATTTAAGGCATATCAGTTCTTTTGTTGGAAGAAGAGCTGTTGATCTGGGAGAATAAGGAGGGGAGGGACTAGAGGAGTGAAAGTGAAACAGTTTAACTATCTTCCAACAGTAAGATAAGCAAACCAATTAAAAGGATTGTCATCCTGTAATTACCAGAGAGCTCTGTATTACAGAGGGAGCTGAAGCTTTGTTGCATAACAAATAGTCATGCTTGTAATTTAATATGAATAATGAGCCAGATGCATGAACAAGACTATTAAATTGTTATCACAAGCAGCCATGTCCCTCATTGATTAATGACTCTGTGTGTCACTAAGGAAAGGAACTCCATTTTTAAGTATGGATCATCATCATCAATGTTGCCAAAGCAACCGGCTGTCTGCTTTTGACTTACCCCTGAATGTGGCAATTAAACCATTATATGAGGAAACAAAATGGTGATTATTCTCTTATGTGGAAAACTGAAGGCTGTTAAAGAATAACAGACTGGGGAAGCCAGAGCTGTTTCCCAAGATAAATGCACCTTTGCAAGAACCATCTTCAAGGTCAGAGCATATTCTCAATACGAAATTAATCATGGTGTCCCCTCGCCCCCCAGTTTCAAATTTGATGCTAATCATAAAATCTTGAATAGTTTAATACACTTGTAGAAACCCAGAAGAACCAAGAGAAAGACATGACTAAAAAAAAAAACAGGTGTGAAAAACACTTATTTTACAGTAAAAAAAAAAATCAACTTGCAGAAGGCATAGTTAGCAAGAAAAACAGTGAATCCTCTATAAATGCTTTTTATAGAGAATATGTGTGTGTACATGCACAGATAGATGAATATGCACTTTACATGACTTATCCAAAAATGTATGCTTGACCCCATGTTTGGGGTTTTTTGTTGTTTTGGGGGTCTTTTTGTTAATGTAAGATTTATATAGAATGTTCTACCAAAAGCAGCTACAACCTGACTTCTTCCAACTTACAAGCTTCCCGGAGTTTTTCCTTGTCATAATGTAGCCCCTCATATTCTTGTAAATTAATCCTGTTCACTCTGATCCTCAGGCGATCTGGGATGGAATGAGGACTGCAAAAAAAGAAGAAAGCTTCTTAGACAAAGTGTTCCATGGAAGAACAAAATGAAAATAGGATATAAACTTATCTGAAAGAAGAAAACCAGCAAGCATCTTCAAAATTGGGCCAACTCCTCACAGGGGGCTTTAAAATTATGACTACCCACCACACAGCAACATAGACATTGGACCATAAATGACAAGCAAGTTCAAGAAGCACATTTGCTGGCTGTGCGGTCTGGAATTACAGAGGTTCTTCTGAGTTCTCTAATCTCAGCATAGCTACCCCTTCCCTCTGCAGTTTGCCTTTTTGTACATCCCTAGGGCCCTACCACAGCCAGTAGATCTGCCAAGCTGTGTTTCAGGACACAGATGCTTTCTTGGAAAGCTTCTCAGGACAACCATTCCTCTGCCCATGAGATCATCCATCCTCCTATCCCTGGAGGATCCTTATTCAGCACCTCTGTTCTGGGAAACAGGCAACAGAAATTGGGCTAAGAAATGGATTTCCACAGTAGTGAGTCCAATACACAGAACCCAGGAGAACTTTCAAAAGCAAGGAGCAGCACAGGAACCCTATTTCTACAAATTTCAGCCAGATTTAGATGGCTCAACTGTCTATATAGTTTTGAAACACTCAGTGGGTCCCTAGCTATAAATTTAAGTATCCATACATTGATAGAAAGTTGTCCCAAAAAGCCATGTTTTGATTTCATGCTGCCTTCCACCTTACTGTAACCTATTATTTGATTTGTAAGTTTAGCTGAATGCTATGTAAATTAACTTGGCTATATTTGCTTTTTCTGCTTTTAAAGAAAGATAGGTAACCTGTGTATTATAATGTATAATCAACTGTCTGTCCTGTAAGAACTGGCCCCTCCTGGCTGAGTTAAAGGTAGGTTCTTCATCCTGTGCTTCTACCAAAAGAGCATCTATTTTCTCTGTTTTAATCTAGTCAGTAACAGAACCCTGCCAGTGGTATGACCACCAAATACACACACTGCCTTTTAAAAAAGTTGAAATACTGTACCCTGCCATATATATACAGGCTTACTTTTTTCTTTGTCTCGATTTTAAGATCCCACAGTATTTGCACTGCTAGTTTAAATGCCAGTTAGGACAAGACACATCTCAAAAATGTAAAGTTTTTCTTTCTTTTTAAACAAGAGAGCAATTTTCTTTTTGACCTGAAAATACTGCAGACCTGACAAAATACATGGTTTGTGGCCATCTCCTGGTGGAGCCATTGGGATGGCAATTAGCAATTATTTCAGCATTAGTTTATTGCATGCTTTCTCTCTGTTGGTATAAACAGCTCTGTCACATCTGGACAGATGAAAACAAAGACTGAAAATCAAGTCCCAGTTAAAAAAAAAAAAAAGCTCTATTTGGCGCAAGTACTCTTTGCCTAAAAAGTGATAAAGGATAATGAACTGAGTGTGCCTCCAAAACTGGAGTGTAAGACAACATGCTAGAAGGAGCTGCGCTGAAGAAATTCACTTTCTGAACAGGGGTTTCTATACTAACGATGAAAATAAACCTAAGATACATGAAGAACAGCTTAGAAGAAATCAGAAATGCTTAAGAGTGGCAGCAAGACTGACACACTCAGAAACATATAGGCTGCCCAATTTTTTTCCTGTGCTGATTGACAGGGACTATTGCATTTAAGTGCCTCAAGATATCAGCAAAACTGCCCATATTTAAGATAAGCTTTTGCAGTTTGATAACAGACACCTGGGATGGTAACTTCCAGGACAGCTTCAGGGAGCAGCTTTCTAACTCAGGTGCCCTAAGGTCATCCTACAGCACAGCACTCTCCACCTGCAGGCCCTACAGCTGGCTCAGCAACCCAGAGAAGATGAGTGCATGCAAACAGAGGGGAAAGGTGCGTAGATGGAACAAGAACATAATTGCACTGGGTCTGACACATTTTTGTGTCTTTCTTTTCTTTTTTAAGACAAGTTTCAATGTCACCTCGCTGGCTGAGAAATGAACATAGTCTGAGGAACTATGTTGCCTCCCAAATTCTATAAAATACAAGTTCAAAACCAAAAATCGTAAAAGATTTTCTTTTTAGCCAAGAAAAGCTAAGAAAATGCTTAAGTCAGAAAACATAGGATTTGAACTGCATAGTCTTTGTCTGAGGGGGGAAAGCAAATAATTCACTGCATGTAGGAGGGTTCATGAAAATGACAGACTGACAGCTCTGAAAAGTGAAGTCTTTTATGCACTGGTACAAATCAGGAAGAAGCTACGTTGCTTTTCTCATGATGTTCTGCCCCCGTACATTATGATGAAGGTAGCTCAGTCTTCCAGCCAGTCTGTTCACAACCTGAGAGCTGTTGGTAGGTGTGCGGAAGGGACTGCTTGTGAATTACCTCTGCTTCTTTGAACTCAGCTGGGAGGAAGAAGGGTGGGGAGACAGGGGAATTCAGCAACTTCTTGTTTCTGTTGTAACACTTGACCATGCTACAGAGACAGCCATTCTTTCTATGTGCTGAATTAAGCCAAGTATAAACCCAACCCAAAAAACTGTCTCAAACTGTTGCTTCTCCTGAAACCAGAACAAAATCTATAGTTGTGATGAAATCTTTGAGCAACCCAAGCTGGAACTCTATAAAAAAATATGCTTTCCAATCCCCAGTTCAAAATAACCACTTGACCAAAAGCTGGTACTCCTGCGCAGGAATTACTCAGCCCAGCACAAGGGCTATTTGCCCTCAAACCAGAAGCACACCATAGCCGCCCCCTACTTGCTCCTTTCCATTTCTTCCTTGCTACAGAGCTCATCCGTGTACGATGCTCAGACCCTCCCATCCACACTGTGACCCTGTGCTGTGGTGTCCAGTGCTGCCCTCCATACTAGAGGGGAAACAGTTTAGTAGAGAAACTTTGCATCTTCCCAAGGTAAACTGTAATTTTAACTCCTAATAGAAGATCACTGACTCCTTTTTCTCCTTGATTTGTCCTTTTAGATCTTCCATAGCAGATATCTGAGCGATACTTGTCTTTCAACTATCCCTTGCATCCTGTCAGCCTGGCTTCCCCCGCAACCTACTCATGTCCTTCACTGTTAAGAGACAATTTCTGTATTTTTGTACCTCTGCACTGTCTGTGCAGAATTTACTACAGCTACGAGATCTTTCATACTTTCCACTCACAATTTCACTTCCTCTCCTTCCCCACACCGACCTTTCTCATGTTCCCTAGTGCATGGCAGGACAGGAGTGTGCCCAATAACAGGCAACTGGAGACAAACCATGCTCTGTTGTGGGAAATACTGAGGACAGGACAGGTGATCCTCTCCCCAGCTTCCATGTCTCCCTGTGAGCTTGTCTCAGTCATGCGATTGTTTCCATTTCCAGACCTTGAGGTGAAACAACTCAAGCAAGCCTGGGGTCACTAAAAAAAAAAACCCCACCTGTTAATGAATAATTATTTGTCTGGTCCAGAACAATCATCATTGCATCAGAAGTAATTTTAAAAGTTGCCATTTCAATATTTATGTTTGGGAGTTATATGTAGCTATCATGTTTGAATTTTCAGAAATGAGAATTTTTTCTATGGTCCCTTGTTTAGATAAGAAAGAGGAAGGGGGAAAAAATAAAAAAAAGAGAAGGAATGATGTAGCTAAGTTCACACACCTAATCTTTGACAGAAGCAAGAATTCAACAGAACTCTTCAGCCCAAAATTCAATCCCTTATTCCCAAGACCCATTCTTCCCCAAGGCTACCTTCATCAGGGTAAAAGTTAGGTTTTCAATAACAGCACAGTGATTTTTTTGTGTTGCTTTTTTCCCCAGAGAGTCCCACCAAGACTTTTTACTTGTAGCTGAAAATGGAATGCCTGAAAATATTTGGATGATTTTCTGAATGTTTATTATTACAAATAATTCTAATGACTGTCTATATTCTCTCCTATTTTTTTTTTTAAATGATCATCCAGACACAAAACTTTTTAGTTCCCTGGGAAGATAACATAAGAAAAATCAGCAGAACTACCTTCCTTTTATAGTACTTTGCTTGTAACAACTCATTTGGCATAAAAGTACTAGGAAAGCTATGTAAAAGCAGTTATGGTAGCGTTTTTTGCTCCTTGGTGTCTAAGCACTAGTTCAAATGTGAAGTTTCTTGGCAACCGTTATCAATGAATTAGTGGTAGACTTATGTCTTTCTTACCACACAACTAGCCTCATTTCAAATACATCATCGCAACGGATAGTCTGGATATCTCACAGAAGGAGGAGAGGAAAGGAAGACAGGGAAACAGAACAGTTTCTCCAAGTGCATGTTTAGAGCCTTGTACATCAAGGTGAAGGGATGGTCACATTGACCCTATATATTCAGTGCTCAGAAGACCTGCAAAAAGGGGAGTGGGGGATGTTAAGTCTCATGCCAACATCTGCCAATCCTTAGTTAATTACCATCTGTCTCCCTGCAACCTCCCTGTGAGGACAGGACAGTGTTTGGATGCCAAGGGGATAGAAAGACAACGCTGACTTCTGTAGCTATGCTGACTCACTACCTAAATGCCATGTAAGAATGGAAAATGTCTTTACAAATGTTATTTCCTGGCTTGAAGCCAGTGGCAACCTATTGCATCTCCAGCATCACCTTGTTGAGTCAAATTAGTCCTTTCATCTGAAAAGGACAAGTGAGAAAGCCCTTTTTATTTGCTTGAACTGGAGGAGGAAATATCTAAAATCAACAGCAAATCTAAAATATTTTTGTTGCTCCTGGAGCCACACACACTCTCCAAAAGCACCTTTTAACTAGAAAATATCTAAGAGGATACTTCCCATGCTTTTGTAAAAAGTATAATTTTTTGGTACATCAGTGCACTGTGTATCTCTGAATTTGTTTCTGTGGAAAAAACCGAGCACACCATCTTAAATGTAGTCTATTACCTGAAGGGCAATAGGTTCCTTTCCAGGTCAAGCGTGGGAGGGTAATCAGCTGGCAAGTATTAGAGCTTCCTCTTCTCCTGTTTCTCCTCCTGTTCACCCCCTTT